TTCAAAACAAACATTCTGTGATCTGTCTATCTAACTGTATGATGAACTTTGATGATTAACATCTATTAGTTAAAATGGTGGGCAGAGCGTAGATAACCTACTGAACAGCAAAGCGGTAAAACAAACAAACAAACAATATTAATCAAAATTGTTGAGGCTTTAACTAACTTTTTCAACATTTTGTTTTACAATTTTTTTCACTGTGTTATTGTAAAAATAGAGAATTCCGAAATAGTGTCGCAAAAAACGTCAAGAACAACACATTATATTATGATACGTTTTCAGGTGTAGGCTCCAAATTCATAGGTTTATATTGGCAGAATCTTGGCCCATTTTAAGATCTAATATTTCCGTTCATATTTATAGTGCTATTATACAGTTCCTTGGAAAAGTATTTTTCCCACTGCACATTTTGTTGCTGTCTGAGCTTTCAGACATGAAACTTTCGAATGGGACCTTATATTTAGAATGTACGGAATCTACTTCAAACTGAGAAAGCTTTAAAAGGCTGATTTTATGTAAGTAAGTTAAATTTCCAAAGAAAATCAGAATATTCTCAATTGCATAAGTAAATCGGTTCAGGTGCTAAAGATTAGTTTGAAAAATCACAAAATTAGTGTAATGGTCTATGTCTGTTTATGCGTAATCAAAGTGGTTTAACTTGACTTCAGAATTCAAGCCACAATTCACATAGTGGTACGACAAATGAACCATGAAGACCAGGGATCTTTCCAAACAAGTCAGGGATAAGGTGGTAGAGAAGCACAGATCAGGAAAAGGTTAGAAAAAAAATTTCAAAGTCGCTGATTGTCCCTTTAAGTACGGTAAAGTCCATCATAAGGAATTGGAATGCGTTTCATACCTCCCAGTCGCTACCCAGATCAGGCCGTCCTTCCAAACTAAGCAAGCAGCCGGGTAAGCAGGAAACTGTAAAATAGAAGAGTAAAATACATTACACCCTCATGTTTTATATAGCATACAATATCGTAAATCAAAGAAAAGTATTAAACTTCCGAGAATACTTTTTGTTGAGAACTTCTCGGAACTCAAAACTGTATCTTGTATATCACACAGTCAGTGGAAAGAATCTACGTGAAATATAAAACTCTGTTAAAAATCTCGTATATTAATATATTATCTAAACATTTTTTTTGATAATTTGATAATTAGTGATAATTCCATGAATTCAACTTAAATACTTTAGTCCGATACAAGAAATTAATTTATATTTCCATCAATAACTTTAATTATCCTTGTTTGCATATAAGTTAGAACAGATTCTTCGGTATATTAAAAGATCTAAACCATAAATGTTTCTTCAAAGCAGTGTTCTGCAGGGAAGGGTTTCATCAGCTTATTTACAACAAAGAGAGGAATTTTAAAAACCTAATCTTGAGGCAAGTGGTTGATTGGAGAGCTGACAACAGATAGATTAAACAACTAGAATAAACTGATGTTTGATTTGTTGTTCGTTTGTTTGTAGTTAAGCACGAAGCTGCACAATGGGCTATCCGTGCTCTGCCCACCACGGGTATCGAAACATGGTTTCTAGCGTTGTAAGTCCGCAGACATCCCGCTGTGCCACTGGAGGGCATATATAAATTCATATATCAATTCCTGTAGATACGTGCGTAATATATGAGTCCCTAGTCCATAACCAAACGTCGAAGATAGGTTTTCTTTACACACCAAAAGGAAGAGACTATTTGATAACGCATTCAGTTTGTCTGTTTTTTGTACAAGTATATTTACTTATTAGATTTATTGCTGTTCACGATACTTTTTTGAACTACCAGTTACCAAATTCATGACTTTTTTCTTACTGTACAGATGAATTAATTTTAAAGAATAGATAGTGTTGCAGAAAACATGATATGACTGATTACAGAACGAAATAGTTGAACAATAGTTTAGAAAGAAGGACGGATAATTTTGGTTAAGTATTGGGTGTTCTAGAATCAGAATCAATCTCGTTTAAAAAATGTCTCGAGATTTCGATGCTTAAAAAAACATTTTCCCAGTTATGGAAACAAATGAATGACGACGAGGTTCAGGAAATTCCAGATCCGCGCTGTCATGATTACTTAAAATGACAAAACATATTTTAACTCTTTCATTGATATTTTTGAAATTGTAAATATATACACTTAAGAATGAGATACCTATACTTCAAAAATGGCCGCTTCTAGTATTTCTTACGGATCAAACGGGATGCATCCAATTGGCAACATATGCAGGTTGAATCGGTTAATCTTAGCCTCATAGAGGAATTGACTGTCGTTCTTATAATGCACTCACAACTGAAACTGCGAGGTATGTTTAATAGTATCACATCTCGAACTTGAGATCCTAAATTCCTTATTTTAATACTTTAACTATTAGGTCATGTTCACACAGAATAAAAAGAAACAAAGTTATATAATCGGACCCACAGAGGGCGCTTATATTATTTCCTAGAATATTGAGTTTATATGACGCAGTATATCAAAATGGTAATAATTCTGTATACCTCACCACTAAACAAAAAAAATCAGATCAAATCAAAACCGAAAAACTATCCTGTTCCATTCAGCTCCGAAACGCACTTTTGAAATGAAACATCGAAAATAGGTGAGACTGGTTCCATAGCTTTGATATTGTACTATACTCAGTAATTTATATGAATTAGCTGATATTTTCAAGTAAATTCTTACATCTATAACAATTTAACTTACTGTCATTTTAATAACAGATGTAAAAAAGCATTTTTCAAAATATCATGAGCTTTCGAAATGTATAAAAATATCTATCTCGTTATCAAGACAAAGAGTGTTCCGAGGAAATGTTAACAGTGTTAAACTAACAGGTGTAAGAGCTTACACTGTGTTTTCTTGCCAGTATTCTGTAGATATTTATCTCGTTATCAAAACATAAAGTGTTCCTAGGAAATGTTAAACGAACAGGTGTAATAAGAGATTACGTTGGTTCCCTGCCTACATTCTGTAGATCTTTCAATGTCTCCAAGGTGCTCTTGTGCTGTGCAAATATTTTGATGTTGAATAAATACTGAAGACATTTGCATTACCTACTATAATTAATGTTGAATGTAGTTATATGTGTACAGTGTATATTTTTGCATTAAAACAATTCAGTTTATGCTTTTCTAGTGTCAGAAGTTTGTTTGAGAAATTAAATTAATCAACTTTATAACATTACATAAACCCAACTAGTTAAGGGTTTTACTTTAAATCTCGAAAATTGTATTTTGTTGTTGTTTGATTTCCTTTAGAAAAGCAGCATTACTAAATAATTAGCATAAATGCAAGAGGGTAATTGTCATTATTCCAGATGCATGTTAATTCTGAAATATTTCCCCAGAAACTACCAAAATGTTATTTCGATTAAAGAACAATTGATTAAAGAAGTTTGTATAAAGAAGGACACTGGATAAGTTAAAAACAGTTGATTAATGAAATTTATATAAAGAAAGATACTGGATATGTTAAAAACAGTTGATTGAAGAAGTTTGTATAAAGAAAGATACTGGATAAGTTAAAAACAGTTGATTAAAGAAGTTTGTAAAAGAAAAATGCTGGATATGTTAAAAACAGTTGTTTGAAGAAGTTTGTATAAAGAGAGATACTGGATAAGTTAAAAACAGTT